CCTATTAATAATAGTAACTTGGGCTCTATAGATTTGATAGATTTAAATAGTTTAACTATGCTTCCTTTTGATAATAGTAACTTGGGTTCCATAGATTTTACACGTTTAAATAATTTAACTGTTCCTCCTTTTGATAATGTATCTATCACACCCACAGTTAATAAGGATTTTCCCACAAAGTCTCAAACTCAAGATCCAAATGAAAAAGTACAATAAATATATTATATTTAAATGCTGAGAGCTTGGTGGCACACATTCATGAAATCTCTTATGTGTTGTCAAAAAAACCAAGTTTAGTATGTGTTTCTGAAACTTGCTTGACAAGGATATTTATGATCCAGAAATAGACATTGACGGATACAAAAATTATAGAATTGACAGTGAAAGTAGACACACAGGAGGTGCTTTAATTTATGTACAAAGTGAACTGAAGGTTTTAAAATATTTTAAATTTTGTATTCCAAAAAATTGTTGGATTGTTTCTGTGATAGTAATATTAGGAAACAAAATTTTTTTAATTGTATCTTTATATAGGTCACCTAGCAGTAGCTGTATAAATTTTTTAATTGTTTTAGCACTTGGGCTGAAGAAAATTTATATGATAATTCTCAAATAGTTATTGTTTCTGGAGATTTTAATATTGACCTGTTAACTAAAAACACTTCAGTGCGAAATTAAGTGATATTTTGATTGATACTGGATTAAAAAATATTGTTACAGAATGCACAAGACCAAATAGAAGTGGTGAAGGTACACTAATAGATTTAGTTATAACAAATAATGACTCAGTTTCAGCTGAGGTTATCAAAACACCAAGAATTTCAGATCATTTTATGCTTTTAACAAATATGCTATTAAATAGTGATGGGTGATCTGTTTTTGAAATTGAAAGCAGAGGTAAAGACTTAAATTTTGATATAATTAATAACAAACTTTCAACATTAGCATGGAACTATCATATTTATGACATTAATGCAAAATATGATAATTTTGTACCAAATATTTTAAACGTATTAGATTCTGTAGCGCCAAAAAAACAAATAAAAATATTTCCTAAACACAAAAAATGGTGGAATGAAAATGTAAAAGCTGCCACAAGGTACAGAGGACCTTGCATATAAAAATTATTCACAAGAAAAAACAGAAAATAATTGGAATGAATACAAAATGCATAGAAATAGGGCCGTTAACGTAATTAGAACAGAAAAAAGTAAACACAGAGAAAAATATTTACGAAAGTAGGGGAAATTCAAAGGAAATGTGGAAATATCTTGAATGTCTGATTCCAAAAAATAATAAATTGAATAACTTAATTGAACTTAAACTAGAAAATAATGTTATTATAAAAAATATTTTTGACATGCCAAATGCTCTTAATAAATTTTACATAGATTGCTAGTATGATTGATCATACAATACCAGATTATCAAATTTTAGACAGACACAATGGACATTTTCTTGGAAAATTTCAACTATGTATGGTGGATTAATAATAATAATAATAATAATAATAATAATAATAATAATAATAATAATAATAATAATAAATGGCCTTTATTTGTACCAAAAATACAAAAAATATGTAGAAATATACATTTGCCTGGGCGAGATTTAGCCTAAGGCTATTCTTACATCTAACCCTATAAATTCAATACATAGTTTAAATAATAAATACATTTTTTACAATAAGCAAATTCTAGTAAAACATTTGAAAAGAAAAACAATTACCTAAGTGTGTTTATTCAAAAAGAACAAACGAGATAAAAAAAAAAATTAAACAAAAAAATTAAACAAAAAATTAAACAATTGCACTTAAACACTTTGGGAGACCAAGAGCTGTCGTTTTAATGTATTTTTAAAAACATTTAGAGATTTTGAATTTTTTAAAGATGTGTTTAGGTTGTTGTACAGAACAACGGCATTGTATGAAAAGCTGCGATTAAAAATTGCAGTAGAATGACGAGGCATGGTTAAAGTTAAATTATTTCTAATATTAACGTTGTGCATCAATGTTCTGAATATTAGTTTGTCTTTTAAATATGGTGGTATTGAAGTATTAATTATATTCTTTAAGAGACATTCTTTTTGCAAAGATGACATTAACATTAATATTTTAAAAAACTGTTTTCCCAAGTTCTCAGAACCACTTTTAAATTTGATAAATTCGTCATTAGAAATTTCAAAAATACTTAATGCTCTAAAAATTGCTATGGTAGTGCCCGTTCCAAAGACAAAAAACGCAAATAAAGCTACATATTTAAGGCCTATTAGTATGTTAAGTTGTATCGAAAAAATCATTGAGAAGGTCGTTTATGAACAAATTGTTAATTTTTTAAAACAAAATAAACTTATTACTAGAATACAAACAAAATAAACTTATTACTAGAATACAATCAGGCTTCAGAAGCAAACATAACTTTGAATCAGCTATCCAGTGTGTTTTATATGATTGGAAATATAAATTTGATAAAAACTCTCTAACATTGGCAGTTTTTATAGATCTTCAAAGGGCATTCGAGACTGTTGATCAAAACTGTTTGATAAAAAAATCTCGAAAAAAATTGAAAAGTATGGGTATAGTAGAGCAAGCATTTGAGTGGTGTGTGGATTATCTAAGTAAGAGGAATCAAAAGTTAAAAGTAAATAACATTTTGTCAGAGGAAATTAACTATATCAGAGGTGTTCCACAAGGAAGTATATTGGGTCCCCTGTTGTTTTTAGTTGTTGATTTCAAGGGTCAACATTCACCTGTTTGCTGATGATGCCCTAATAAATTTTTCTTGTAAGGATTCAGAAAACTTGGTAAGAGTTGATAATAAAACACTGCAACATGTTTATAAATGGTGTTGCAATAATTTGTTGAAAATTAACACAAATAAAGCAAAATGTATGCTGATAAGTAGCAACTATAACTATACACAGTTTGTTGATAAACAATATAACATAACAATTGGAGGAAATTCTATACAGTTAGTAGAAAAATTCAAATACTTAGGGGTAATGATTGACAAGCAGATGATTCATAGATCATGCCAACACTGTTATCAAAACTATTGCATTTAAGTTAAATTTCCTATTTAGAAGTTCATTTGGCTTATCACAGTGGACTAAATGTATTATATATAATACTATAATTCTACCTAACTTTAATTATTGCTCTACAATATTCTTTTTACTAAATCAAATTGAGTTGAACCGACTACAGAAGCTGCAGAATAGGACTATGCGAATAATATTATCCTGTTCAAAATATACTTCCATTAATCTAATGCTTGAAACATTGAGGTGGATGCCAATCAAAAGTCTCTTATTGCGCGTTAATTTTTATTTATAAAATCAAACACGGGTTACTTCCAATGTACCTAAAAGAGAAGCTTAATTATCTCTCTAATGTGCACATTTATCCAACACGGTACAGAAATAACTTTTATATTGAAACAGTTGTTAAGAGTGCAACACAAAATTCACTATTTTTTAAAGGTCTAAATCAATATAACGCACTTCCAGAGAAAATTAAATCAGTAACATCTGTAACTACATTTAAAGTCAAAGTGACAGATTTCTTAATTGAAGAATATTTCTCCAGAAACAGTTACAACCTATAGAATTTTAGTTAGTTTTAATTGTTTTTAAAATTGTTTTTAAAATTTAAATTATTCTTTCACAATACTCTACTTTATCATTAAATCAATTTCAGTTTATTTGAATGAAAACCCTATAAACAAATATTTACAAATCAAATTTAACTATAAATTAAACAGCTATAGTTAAAATAAATTGAAACCAATTATCTATGTTTTGACTTATATGTATATGTATATTTTTACTTAATTTGTATATTGTGATATTAGCAACCTAGCTAAATAAAGGAAATAATATAAAAATATATAACCATTTTATTTTCTTAATGTGTCAACTACTGGTGACTTTACCTTAGTATACCATTTTGTAGGTCTCATTGAGTAGATTCTGATGTGTTGAGCTAACTTGAAAAACATCATAGATATTGGCATTTAAAGGAAATCGAAAAAAAATTGCTGGGTCGTAATTTTTGACAATAACGTCATATATTTTGAGGCGTACTTTCAAAAAATGTGTTCTTTCGTCCATCTCTATGGGAAATACCTCAAAATGGCCGTTTAACATTTAAACAAATAAATAAAAACTTTTTGTAACGAAGAGGTGTAGGATCAAGATATTGAATGGCAACCTAGTTACAATATATAAATTTTTATATTATCTTTTATGTTAACTATGTTTAATGAAAATAACAGATGGGGGATAGAACTTTCTAAATGCCAGAACACCTACTATTATATTTATATTATATATTTGTTTTATTTAATTTACATAGATATAAGTTAAATTTTATTTATGTTCAGTTGTTTCTGTGTACATACTTGTACAATTATTATGTGTTTAAGATGTTTTGTAAGTTTGCTTTAATAGTATTATGTCTGAGACTTGATATTTGTTTTTGGGAAATACATTTTTCAGAGTTGTTCAACAGGATGCAGAAGGGGCTATTTTATATATTGTTTTCTTTTTACTTTAATTGTATTATTACCTATCTATATTGTTCTGCAGAATTTTATATATTTCAATCTTGTAATATTTTATGATTAATTGTACCTATGCTTACACTTTGTAAATAAGAATTTAATTATATTTGACACAATAAAACCATATGAAATTAAATATTCATATTTCATGATTTACTGTAGGTAATAAAATAATTTATTAGAGTATAACCTGTTTGGATCTTATTAAGACAAGCTATTAGCCAGAGTTTATAAAATGTGTTTATTGTTTAGCATTTTTTATGTTTGACTGTTGTTTTATGAGAATTGGACTAAATGATTAAATAAAAATAAACATTACTATATGTTTATTCCTTTCGACTTGTAAAAAATGTTTTTTACAAAGGTGATTAAATAAATATTTACAAATATATAATTTATCAAATACAGTAAGCTGAAAATTAGAATACAATATCTTACCTTATCTCTGGTTATCCTATATAGAAAATTATTTGTCTTAGAACTATGAGAAACTTCCTTAATAACATCAGTTACTTTGGGACTCACCCAAATACTACCAATTTGTGACTGTAATAGTGATAATGGGGTTTCCCCTCTATTATTAGGCGTATGTAAACTAGCAGAGCCCTAAAAATCGTCCAATTAAAGCCAAACTAATTTGTCACCAACAAAAAATTAATACTTGTAATATTAAAGTTGATATTGCTGTGGTATTCCTAGCTAAAATTGCCCAGTGTAAAGCTGTATTGCCTTGTTGATCAGTTACATTGACTGACGCCCCTAATGTTAACAGCAGTCTAGTGGGATCTAGACTGCAGACTTTCCACACTGCCCACATTAAAGGTGTCATTCCCACCCTGTCTACCAAGTCAGGACTGACTCCCCTTGCAACAAAATATGCTACCTGCAGAATAAGTTAACATTACTTACTTACATTCAAAGAGATATCAATAAAAATACTTACCAAAGCTGTATGCCCGAATTGGGCAGCCAAATGGATACAAGAACAACCCTCTGCATCTCTAAGAGTGGGATCAGCCCCAGCATTCATTAGTATTACCACTGCATCTAAATGTCCTTGGCGAGTCGACCAATGCATAGGTGTCGCTTGCAACTCGCCACCTATGGCATCCACTTCGGCCCCTTTATCAATAAAAAACGACATGATATCTTTTCTGTTATTAATCGATGCCCAATGTAGCAAAGTAACATTTTCGGAATCCCTTTCATTGACATTATAACCTGCTTCTACCAGTTCCTTGACTCGGCCAAAAGCACCGTACTGTGTAGCTTTAACGATATCAAATCCACTGTAATCATGTTCTATTGCTGGGACTGTGGGTTCTTTTGAAATTAAACCCTGACATTCTCTATCTGTTTCTACGCATCCCGTAGCAGTTGCGGCTGCAGCTCCACAAGCATTCTGGTACATTTTGTACCTACGTAGGGCTGAACTTAAATTAAAATTACAAATATTTCAGGTTAATTTTGACTTGACATTGATTGATGATTAGGAGAGTTGACAGCTAAAACTACTGACAACTGACATATTAAGTTCTTTAGGTTCTTTCGTTCGCTGTCGGTGTAGTGTCCACCAGTGTAAATTACACCAGTTACACCACCTTATTTCCCACATGTCGAGTGTAAATCACTCCTCCTAAATAGCTGGTGCCGGTGGAGAAAATTCTCACCAGTGTACACCACATCGCCGACAGGAAGGTATAGTGGGTTTGGGTTTTACACCGGGCCAAACGAAAGGTTTAGTGTACGTTGGTGTAGTTAATTCCTACACCAGTTGGACGAACGAAAGAACCTATTTATACGTAGTTTCTTCTAGATTTAATGGCCTCTTAGCTTCAGAGATTTGAAGATTTTCGAATTGCGTGACTTCTATTTGTCAGTACGTCAGTCAAATGTCATATGCAAAAATGTATTTTTCTGAAAATTATAGATTATTATAATGTGATATTTATCGATAACTCTGAGCTGAGATATGAAAGCATTAAACAACTAACAAAAAAGCTAAAAGGAAGAATTTCAATTTAACATCAAAAAGGAAACTATGTACGAAAAATCAAAACATAAATTTGTATATTTGGATTTACAATTTGATGGAGTCAAAGGTTTCTTGTTCTTAAATAGGTATATCTTATTTTTTTTATTGATAAATTTTCAGCTGGGAGAGTGGTAATTGAATTATTTAATGATGTGGTACCAAAAACTGCTGAAAATTTTCGAGCCCTTTGTACAGGTGAAAAAGGCATTGGCCAGAAAGGTAAACCTCTGCATTACAAAGGGATAAAATTTCATAAAGGTAAGTTTCAAGTTTATTATTTATTAGGTATATCTAGTTTTCTTAGTTATTGTCACTTACATTGTCAAAATTTCATGTGCAAATTATTTAATAAAAAAAATGTATCATTTTCAAAATTGTGAATCCTCTTCACAATCTTCGAGTGAGACTGACATTGCACATTCACCATGCACTTGCTGCAAATGTAAAAATGATAAAAAACATTTGATTAAGGGTAAATTTGGTCTAGCCTACATTGTGGAAACCCCGAAAGTCAAAATGACCACTCCTGTAGGCTGGCAGATTGAATTTGAAGACACCCCATCAGGTGTAATTAATGATTGTAACAAAATGGTAGAGTGGGTCAGCTATCCACCTTTAGAAAATTGTAAAAAACATTTTCCTGAATTTCCTCCAGCTTGTGCTAAAATTTTAAAACCTAGAAATAATTTACTGTTAACTCCTAAGCAACACCAGTGCGTTTTTAAATCTGATATAAAGGATAACAGTACAAATACTCATGGGATAACTACAGATCTTTCGCATACTAAGAACTGTTGTGAAAATGTATGTAACTGTGGAGAAAATAAATATAATGGTTCTGTTGACAATAAGATACCCTGTTGTAGGGAAAAATCTACCCAAAATCCTTCTAGAAACAGTTGTTCCCACCAAAATTCAAAAAAACTTTATGATAACCAAAACTGCTGCTTTAATACAGACCATCCTATGCATTATCAAGGTTGCTATTGGTATACTGATAAAGATGTTCAGCATTGCTGGTGTACCACTCAAAAAATCGGAATGACAAACACAAACGAAGTTGAAACAAAGGACGATTCAACCAGTTATAACCCAGAACAGAGTTTGGATTATGTACCTAGTAGGGAAAGTAAAAATAATAGTGCAGGCCAAATTATTAGAGTTGTGAATAGAGAAACTCAGTATCAGGATAAATCGCCTTCTAAACTATCAACTGGTTTAGAAGAAGGAGTAATAAAAAGGGTTTCTAATAAGCAAGTGGGTACTAACAGTAAAGAAGGCATTAGAGTGTCTATAGATGAAGAAATGATAGCCAGAAGCAACAATAGAAGCTCCGGTAGCAAAGATGACAATCTTGGTTCAGTACTTACTGAAAGCACTCTAGAAAAAATTATGTCCATTGCAAAAAGGGCTATAAAAAATGATGAAAACAGTAACAGAAGTTCAGAGGGTGCTAAAAGCTTAACAGTTACTGAAAGTTCTTTAGAAAAAATGGTATCAAAGGCATTAAAAGATAGCAGCCGAACTGAAAACAGCAATCAAAGTTCAATAGGTACCAGAGACAATCGTAACTCAATTACAGAAAATTCTTTAGAAAAAATTATATCAAACACAATCAAAGATGGCATCAATAGAAGTTCGACAGTTACTGAACATTCTTTAGGACAAATTGTATCTAATGGAAATAGGCTTATGAAAGAAGGTAATGAATTGGAATCGATGCAACAGATTCAAAATAAATCTTCTGTGATGAGAAGTACTGAATTTAGTGAACGTGCCAATAACTCCTTGCAAGGGGAGATGTCTGAAAAAGATGATAAACTAGTAAGTAAAATTTGAAAGGGTTTGATAATTCCGTGCATAATTAGTTGATTTAAAATGGCTAATTTTTTCTAATAAAATAAATTTTGTTCTCTAAAATCCTCACTGCACAATAATAATATACCCCATTCAATCATAAGACATAAGACAGATGGACATTCCCTGTGACATGTGATGCCTAAAATCAAAAAGACAGCAGAGCACCTAGGTAATTTTAAGTTAGAACCTATGCCATATTTTAAGGGTCTTCTTATACAATATTCAAAAATGTATGATGCTAATTTTTTACAAAAAAACAATGACACCATATGTTTAGGCTTTTGAAATATAAAAATATAAAACATTCCGAACACCTCCCCTATTTTTAAAAAAGCAATTTTTTCAGAATGTTTCATGTATTTTAAGAGTCTAAAAATAGCCTAAAAGTGAGGTGTGATTGTTTTCAGAAAAAAAAAACTTTATAAAAAGAGGTGCTCTTGTAGTTTCGTTCGAAGCTAGCAGAGCACCTAGATTTTTGTAAAAAAATAGCCCTGAAAAAAACAGAAAAATATGGCACAGGTTTTAACTCCAAATTTCCTAGGAGTTTTGCTGTCTTCTTTTGCAAGAATCTTCTTCTCTTTTAGATGTTCTCAATGTCTAATACCACAGCCTGTTCAACCAGGTTCATTCATAGGTCCATATTCATTAAAACAGCTCTTGTGCTTGTGAACAAAAATCTAATATGATTGATTGTCTGATTCAGTGTTGCCAATCTGTAGGTATTTTCCCATATGGGCATTTTTTTCTACAAAAATATGGAAAGGGGAAACTATGAAAATACATTTAAAATGCAATTGGTTGATATTGTCAATTCTGATAGTATAGCGACTTTCCGTTTTTCCCTTAGAGAGAAATTCAACACCACAAATCACATCTTCCTAACTCAAACGTTAGCCGAGGTGTTTTATTGTATTTATCAACGAGCAACTGCTCAATTAAAATACAAAATACAAGTTTAATGAAAGGGAAAATTTAAAACCTAACCTACACTCATCCTGAAACAAAAATTACCATAAAATTAACATAAAACAAGAAAAAATAAAATATAAAAAAAAACAAGGTAACAATTGTAAATAAGTTAAATTATCTAGACACATCGAAATATCACATACATTATTTTAAGCTGGGATTTAAAGACTTTTTGATTATCAAAGCAGCCCAACCTATCAGAATAATGATTAGCAAATCTACCCGACCTTGATAGTTAAGAATTATGTCCATAGTTAGTCCAATGTTGTCTAATATTGAAAGGCTGAATAAACCTTGTTTGTCTAGAAGGAACATGAATATTGATTTTCCCAATAACTCTAGACTAAAGCTATATGAGTGCAGTAGATTGTAGAATGTGGTAAGAGCCTTGTGCATGCGTCTGATCTGAAGAGTGGCAATATTAAGGGAACTCTCAATATTTGAGTAATTAATATCCTCAACTCCACGGTTTTCCTTAAATGAAATAAATCTTAAAAATGTAGGTTGGAACTCTTTATATGGCTTGAATATGAACATTGTAGTGGGGGGACGAGACACGTGAACAGTAATCTAAATGGGACCTCAATAGTGAACAAAACAATATTTTAATGGATGATACCTCCAAAAATCCTTAGCGCAGCGTTTAACAAAGTCTAGCATTTAATAATAATAAATAAATAACTTTATTTCCATAATGAATACAAATGATAGTAAATGTATAAAAATACAAAAAAAATCAAGAAATAAAGAATAATCAATAAGTGTTGAGACACTTGTTTTGATATAAGAAAAAACATGGTACAAAAAAAATTATTAAAATATTTAAATACTAACAGAAAAAATATAAACCTATAAATAGAATTAACTATGCACTTGAGAGGATTATAGAACAATATTTTTCACAATAATAAAAAATTAAAAAAATATAAGTAAATTATTTATAAGTAAAAATTATAAGTATAAATATCAGTAAAAAGATGAGTAAAATGGTGATACGTATAGTAAACAGGTAAGACGACATTGAATATTACTAGTAAAAACGGAAATATTAAATTAGTTTAATTGAGATTCCAATATCTCACTAATTTTATTTCCGTCAGTTGCCAGTATATATGTTTTTAGTTCCTTTTTAAATATAGTTTTATTTTTTATATTTTTAGATTATTTGGAAGACTATTATAAAAAAAAATTGCGGTGTATGAGTAGGATCTTTGTGAAATGGATTTTTTTACTAGGGGTAAAACTGTAATCATTTTTTGCCTAGTATTGTGGAAGTGTTCAGAAAATTCTTTATTTTGGGAGGAGTAAAATTTAGTGTTGGACCAATAATAAAATAACTGTCTTGAGTCCATGATTTGGCATTCTTTATAGAGAAGATCAGACGGGTAAATAGATTTTTTAGACATAATTAATTTTAAAAATCTTTTTTGTATTATCTCCAGCGAATTTAAATGTACTCGTAGAGTTCCGCCCCATATGATTATTCCGTAACGCAAGTGACTTTCCACTAGGGAGAGATATAAAGATTTCATCAAATTTGGTGGCAAGCATTTATTTAACTGTTTAAATTTATATAAGATTGTTTGCAGTTTTTTAATTACATAATTAACATGGATATCCCATTTAAGGTGTGCATCTATAAAGATTCCTAAGTATTTTATCTGCGATACGGAAGTTATTTTGTTATTGGAGGTATCATTGATAAGATGTTGAAAGGTACAACTGCCAGCTTTGTTGCAGCTAAAGGGTAAAAAGAAGGTTTTATCCATATTAATAGTTAGGAGCCTGTGGTCAAACCAATTTTTTATAATGCGGAAGCCGTTTTCTGCTTTGTCTTTTAATTCTGACCATGTGTCTGCTTCAAAGAAAATAGCTGTATCATCAGCGTATCCTATGATATCGCCCACATTTCTTAGGGAAAATATATTATTTACGTATAAATTAAAAAGTACAGGCCCCAATACAGTCCCTTGAGGAACTCCATAAGCTATTTTTCTTTCATCACTAATTTCATTTTCCAATTTTACCATTTGAGTTCTATTTTGTAAATAACTTATTCCAACCTCTTCTAATGTTTCTAATAGTAATGTGTGACTAACTGTATCGAAAGCCTTTGCCAAATCAATAAATATACACAGACATGGCCTCCCTCTCTCTAAGGCATCGTGAATTTTGTTGGTTAGGACGAGTAAAGCATCTTTGTGGAAGTATTTTCTTTAAATACAAACTGCCGAGGCGAGAGTAACCCATACCTATCCATAAAAGACATTACTCTTTTTTTTAATAATTTCTCAAAGATCTTTGAGAAGTTAGTCACAAGTGAAATTGATCGATAATTAGTAACTATCTGAAGTGATTTTGAGACTGCCATTAATATATGGGGTATGTAAGATTATTTGGAACTGATGACTACACCCAAATCTTTAACT